CCGTTTTGTAGTACTTGTGGAGCTCTATCATACCTGATTGAGTTGGTTCGAAAACATTGATTCTGAAAGAAGTTATGGCAGGGCCCGCGAAGGCCCGGCAAAGGCCCGGATTACAAGTATGCATTTTTCCACTATTTGGACGTTTTTTTTCTTTCGTCACCTTGTTATTTTTTTCATGGAGCTCCATTCACTTTTTTCCGAAAAACCTGTCACTTTTCACACCTGGCGATGGGAAAAATGATGAATTGAACGGGTGACATTTTTCCAGACACTTTGATATATGTTATTGTTTTTTTTCCAGAATTTCAGACTTTTTTTCCTGTTTCTCATAGTTTTCAAATTGTCGAAAAAATCGAGTTTTTATTTATGACAAACTGTGTTATCTAAACCCAAACAAGCCAAAGAAGAACAATTTTTTGCTCAAATTGTCAAGAATTTTCCCATCAAAGTTCGTGTCCACTTTCTATGAAGTCTTGTCACTCAAAAAGAACCCGGATTCTAGAATTAAAAAAACACTCCTCCGCACTTTTTCTTCTTTGTCTTTTTTTGGAGTAATTCAAAACTTTTGATACTGGCTTTTTTTGCGTTTTGTTTGGAGATGAGATCTGGAGAATTTGGAGCATCTTTTTGTGCACGAACATTTTTTAAAAGTAATTTCAAAGTGGTTTAGATCAGGATAATTTGCTTTCAATTTTTTGATTTCTTGGAGTCTTCCCACTTTTTAAAAACTGATATTGAGTCATCGTTAATGACCAATAACTAGTTGATTTTAAAAAGTTGGGAATCAGATAATTTAGAATTTTGATTATTGACATTTTCCTTCCATTTCTAAAGGAAACCTCTAATAAAAGAGCCTCCTACAACTTTGACCTAATTATCTCAGTTCATGTAAAAGATATCAAAAAGTAACCAACTGAAAAAATGTTCATCAAAATTTCAAAAATATTTTATCAGTTGACTATTTTTTGACAGCTATAACAAGAATTGAGATAAATTGGGTTAAAAATGATAGCTTGGGTGCCTTTCTCAGTGCCCTTCTGAAATTCGATTTGTAATTGTCGGTGCTGACTCTTCGTCATTTTTAACAAGTTACAGACAATTTCAGAAAAAGTATGAAACAGAAAATTTTGCTGCAAACTCAAAATACCGTAACACCTGTAAGAAGGTCCCCCATACTGTCAAGTTCGAGCCAATTTTTCTTGGTTCCTGTGAAAGATATCGAAACTTTGCCAACTGATAAAATTTTGATCATAACATAACAAATATTTTGTCAGTTGATAACTTTTCGATATCTTTAACAGGATCCGAAAAAAATTGGGTCAAAGTTTATAGTGTGGGTGCCCTAGCAATGCAGTTTTTACGGTATCTAAGAGTAATTGAAATAAATTTTGTCGAAATTGACCGTTTAGAGCCCTTCTATTTCAGGTCTTGCAAATACTGTTTTTTTTTGAAGTCTCATCTGTGGTGTATACTATTTCGGCTTTAAAATGTTTTTGACTAGTTAAAGACAATTTAACAAATGTATGCAACGGAAAAATTTAAAATTTAGCTCTCAATATTTTTCCAGAATTTAATAGAATCCATGAAGTTTTCAGATTGAAAAAAACTAATTTCAAATATACTTGTACTATTCAATTATCAAAATTAAAAACTAATTTTAGATCTCAATGGAGCTCGAACAAATTATGCAATTTTTAGATTTTTCTGCAATTCAAAATCACTAATTTTGTAATTCTAGTCATATAATCCAGCGTTAATTATCTTGTTTCAAAGAAAAATGGAAATATCTAATTCTGAATTCTCAATGGAGCGAAAGTGCAGTTTCTGTCTCATAATTTGACATAAACTTGAAACTGCATTTTTTTTTCTCAAGCTAAAGATGCAGAACTTTTTTCTCTCGTGTGTTTGATCACATTTGTATCTCCATCGATCATTCGAAAAACCACAAAACAATCAAAAACCATTGAAATCTGAAAATTTTCGAAAAAGACATAGCATCGTGATAGTCGGTAGTAACTATCTAATCCGGATTAACTCTTACTTCTTTTTTCAGTTTCTAAAAAGTCATCATTCCTTCAGGAAGTTTCTGGAAAAGAAAATCTCTGACCTCATCAAGAAATGTTTGATCTAAGGACCTGGATCCGGGTCTCTTTTTCATATAGAAAAAAATGTTACCTGATATCTTTTTGGGATTGTCATGAAAGAATATTAAATAAGAAGGAGTTGGGGTTTTGTATGTCTAACATATCTATTTTTCATTTCTTCCTTCTTTTTTCTTTCTTTTATTTTTCAACTCATTTCTCTTTTCATGTATTTTTTCCTTGTGTTGATAAGGCTTCACTTTCTGAAAGCCTATGTCAAAATTCTGCAAGGAATCACGTAATGAACAAAAAATTTTTAAAGAATTCGATATCCGAAATTCAATAACCAACATGCAATAATTTTTTTCCGTTTTGAGATTCTATTGAATTCAAATTACAAATATAAAATTTCGTTAACTGGAAATTCTAGTTTGGGTTCTTTTTAAAAACCGTTTGGAAACCAAAAAAATTGTAAATCCAAAAGCATTTTTTGCAAAAATATGAATAGGTTTCTAATTGGGAGGGTTGGGATTTGATTTTCAATTATTAGGAAAAATTTGGAATCAAAAATCTGGAACAATTTTTTTTTAAATTACAGGAAAATTCTGTTTCGAAACTTTTGTAAAAAATTCCAGGTGAAATTCATTTAATTAATGGAATGATCGAACAATATTTTTCACAAATTCTACATTTTCTCCCTGAGTTTCAGTTACTGTTTTCTAACTTTCATTATGAATAGAATATTCTAGTACAA